GGGGGGGAGGTGAAGGGAGATGGGGTGAGGTGAAGGGAAGTGGGGGAAGTGAAGGGAAGTGGGGGAAGTGAAGGGAAGTGGGGGAGGTGAAGGGAAGTGGGGGAGGTGAAGGGAGGGGGGACATAAAGAAAGGAGGGAGGTAGAGGGAAGTGAAGGGAGGTGAGGGGAGGTGGAGGGAGGTGGGGGGAGGTGGGTGGTGACTCCAGGGTTTGAAAACACATCCAGGACACTTCCCCATCCTTGGAGAGCACCCTGGCTCGCAGGGTCGTTCATGCTTCTGCTTGGGACAACCTCCTGCATGAAATCTGGCAGGGGAGGAGTCGAGAAGATTGTTAGCCCGAGGGCAGGGACAGTGGATCTGGGAAGCAGGGGCTGGGGGACACGTTCTCTTCCCTCCGCGGGCTGCCTAGTGCTCCCGAGTCCCCCGCGGGGCCCGGCGGCCTGGCCGGGGACTGCAGGCGACCATCCGGCAGGCGGCGGCGACTGAGGCAGCCGCGAGGGACGCGCCCCGGGCCGCGCTCAGGGGGAGTGGGCGCGGCTCGGCAGCTGCTCCCCGCTCCCCCGCCAGGGGAGGGGGCGTCACGCCTCGGCCTTGGATCCGCGCCAGGCCGCTGCTTCCAGCTGGCAGACCCGGGGCGAGCCGGCGGTCCCTGTCCCCGTCCCATCCCCCACGCAGCCTTTGCCCTCCCAGCTCCTTCCCTCTCGGTCTTCCCTTCCCGCGTTCCCCGGAGAAACATGGCCGGGAGCAGCGAGAAGGCGCCAGACTGCGGGCGAGGCGTCGTGGTAAATGCAAACTCCCGATCTCAGGGCTCGCCCCCCCCCCCCCCCCCTCCCTGGCACCCTGCTTGTAGATTAAATGCCTGCCGCGTCTGGGGAGAGAGCTGGCCACCGCTTTGTTCTCCCTCCCTGCGGGATGGCTTCTATCCTCAGACCCGGGCCTCCCCTCCCCGCCCCCAATCTGACTAAACGCCGAGTCCAGTCCCTTCACCCCGAGTTCCCAGCGTCCCCCCACCGCGGCCCCCGTCCGGGAGCCCGCTCCAGCAGCGTCCCGCCGGCGCCCAGCCGGGTCCCCACCCCCTCGAGCCACAGCTTCTGTGAGCCGGGCGGGGCCCCGGAGACCCCCGCGTGCTGCTTGGGAGGCCTCCTTCTTCCTGTTTTGTTTTTAAAAGGACACGGAGGGGTTTTGTAGGCAGCTAGGAAATAAAGTAGCTGCAGTGGACGGAGTTTGAGCTTTGACGCCTTTGGTACCCAGGTTGGGACTCTGGCTGTGGAGGCCTCTGCAGGAGCTCTGGGACAGCTGGCAGCTCCTGAGTGACCTATGGCTTATTCGTAAAAGGGAGGAACAGCAAGCTGGGCTGTGGAGCGAACTGGGAGGATGCATGTAAAATATCTAGCAGTGTGTCCGGATGGGAGGGCGTGGGGTGTTCAATTTCCCAGAATTGAACCCCTTTAACCCTGAGAATCCTGGCAGTGTCAGCCAGAGGGTACCCATCTCTCAGGGTGCTAGGACCCAATCCGTTCTTGACCTTGTGGCCACTTCCTCCCGGCTCCCTGAGTAGTGGTTTTCCAAGAAGCTGGTGGTTATAACTTGTGTCAGGTTCAATGTGAAACTCAATGGTGGTGAGGATGGTGGGTGGGGCTAACTTGCCATCTCTTTCCAGGGATCGGCTTGTCATTCACAGACAATCTGGTTATGAATATGAATGGCCTGAACTAAAGTAAGTGGGTTGGGGAGGGAAACGTGTCACACTCAGACAGAACCGGTCAGGTTGAGATGTGGGGCTCGGTGCTTAATTTAACAGCAGGATCTTTCCTTCTTAAAGTGTGAGGAGTTGGTTTATTTATTAATTCCTCATGTGTACTGTGCTGCTTGGTTCCAGGAGGTGTTCTAGGCTCTGGGGGTGCAGCAGACAAAGGCCTTGTCTTCATGACCTTGCATTCCAGAGAAGACACAGGCAGGCAGTATGTAAGCAAACAGAAAGTTTCAAATAGGAATATGTGCAATAGGAGGAGGGTAACAGGATAGAGGGTAACTGGAGGAGAAGCGGGGAGTGATGCTTTTGTCCAGGTGGTCAGGGCAGCCTCTCTGTGGTGACCTTTGAGCCAAGATCTGAAGGGTACACAGGAGTGGCCATGTGAACTGCAGGCAGAGACCCGTATACCAAGTGCAAAAGAATCACTGCATCCTATTTATGCTTTTGCAAAAATCATTCCAGTTGCCCAGTAGGAAGGGCAAGCCTAGTGTTGGGATGGATGGGAGGGGGACTAAAACCCAAAATGGGAAATCATTAAGTTTATTCTGGACAAATTGAGTCTGCAGCGCCTGTAAGGCCCACAGGTCAGGATGCACGCTAGGCAATTTGAAATTCGCATTTGGAATTCAGGACAGCAATTGGAGAGATTTAGAAATCATCGGTAGAAATCATCTGTGAATGACAAGCCGATCCCTGGAAAGAGATGGCAAGTTAGCCCCACCCACCATCCTCACCACCATTGAGTTTCACATTGAACCTGACACAAGTTATAACCACCATGAATATTTAATGTTCATGAGTGTTCAGCGAATATGGAAAAAACAATTAAAGCAACTGTTAAGGATGGAGGGCTGGAAAGTCCCAAATGTAAGAGGCTGCCTGTGGAGGAGAAGCCGGATGAAGGAACCGAGAAAGAACCCTGAAGGGTGGGAGGGCAGGCAGGGTAGTCCGTGCCTTGGGAACAGAGCATTGTTGGGCAGGAGGGGTGGTGTCAAGAGGTCATCAGAAGTGTCAGATGCCACAGGGACAGCAAGTTGGATACCACAATGGAAAACAGCCACTCTATTTTATAATTACAAAGCCATCAGTAGGAAGAATCTTTTAAACAACCACTCCATTGGTAGAATGGTTAAAATATAGTACAATACAAGTTGAGCATCACTACTAATCCAAAAATCCGAAGCCTCAAATACTCTTGAATCTGAAACTCTTTGAGCAGTGACATGATGCTCAGAGGAGCATTCTCACTGGAATATTTTAGATTTCAGATTTTCAGATTAGGGACGCTCAACCAGGAATTATAATGCAAATATTCCAAAATCCAAAGGGAAAAAAATTCAGAAATTGGAAACACATCTGGTCCCAAGCATTTTGGATAAGGGGTACTCAACTTGTACTACCATAACATACTAGATTTTTTTTTTTTTTTTTTTTTTTGAGACAGAGTCTCACTCTGTCACCCAGGCTGGAGTGCAGTAGTGTGATCTCAGCTCACTGCAACCTCAGCCTCCCAGGTTCAAGTGATTCTCCTGCCTCAGTCTCCCAAGCAGCTACGATTACAGGTGTGCGCCACTATATGCCCAGCTAATTTTTGTATTTTTAGTAGAGATGGGGTTTCACCATGTTGATCAGGCTGTCTCAAACACCCGACCTCAGGTGATCCACCCTCCTCAGCCTCCCAAAGTGCTGGGATTACAAGTGTGAGCCACCATGCCTGGCCTCTAGATACTTTTAAAAAAGAATAAGGTGAATCTAGATGAACTGATGGAGTAGGTAAATTGTTGCAGTCTAAAAAAACAAGTGAGAGAACATTGTAAATAACCCAATCTATTGGTGTCTGTGGAGGTCCTCTTGGAAACAAGGTAATCTTGTGAAATGCAAAGAGGTAGTGGGAAGGGTACAAAGAGAGTAGAAGGTGGGGTGCAGTGGCTCACACCTGTAATCCCAGGACTTTGGGAGGCTGAGGTGGGTGGATCACCCGAGGTCAGGAGTTTGAGACAATCCTAACATGGTGAAACCCCATCTCTACTAAAAATACAAAAATAGGTGGACATGGTAGCTTATTCTTGTAATCACAGCTACTTGGAAGGCTGAAGCGGGAGAATCTCTTGAACCTGGGAGGTGGAGGTTGCAGTGAGCCGAGATCACGCCATTGCATTCCAGCCTGGGCAACAAGAGTGAAACTCCATCTCAAAAAACCAAAAACAAAAAAATGAGTAGAAACCGGACCAGCTGCCATGGGGCCTGGTGCTTGCATGAGAGCCCACCAAGGTGGGAAATCATCCATGTATAATGGAGATAGTCCCAGTATTTACATTGTTTTCTCCAGTAGAACTTGGAAAAATTAGATTAACCTCAAGTTGGATGTAAGTAGGCAAATTCAGAGTGTACCCAAGCTGCTGGTAGAAGGCATTTCATGCCATGTAAGGCCGGAGGGAAGGAAGAGCTGAAGAGGGTGAGTTTACTGGGAGAACAGAGAGCTCTCAAAGATGGGATACAAAAAGTCAAATTAGTACCATTTTAAAAAGGGGGCAGGTGGCTGGGAGCAGTGGTTCACACCTATAATCCCAGCACTTTGTGAGGCCAAGGTGGGCAAATCACTCGAGCCCAGGAGTTTGAGACCAGTCTGGGCAACCAACCTCATCTCTACAAAAAATACAGAAATTAGCCGGGCATGGTGGTGCATGCCTGTAGTCTCAGTTACCAGAGAGGCTGAGGTGAGAGAATCACCAGGACCTGGGAAATCAAGGCTACAGTGAGCCATGATCGCACCACTGCATTCCAGCCTGTGTGTCAGAGTGAGACCCTGTCTCAAGAAAGGGGTGGGAGAAGGTGATAATAGCAAGCATTTCTGGAGCACAAGTCTGTATGGGAGGTCCAGGGTACTCCCCATTTTACAGAGGAGGAAACTGAGGCACTGAGAGTAAATCACCCAGGTCACATAAGTAGCAAATGGCACGGGCAGGATTTGAACCAGCTTTCAATCACTATGCTACATAGGAAGCTGTGATTCCAGGGTGGAATTTCAGGGTTGGGGTTGTCTGTAGGACTGGGGTATGTGAATGTATTGCTAAATGGAGAATAAGGTTGTAGTTTGAGCTAAGGCCAGTGAAGGAGCTGCAAGATCAAGTGGCTGGAAGGATCGTCCAGGTAGGTATTGGCGTAAATCACCTAAGGAATTGTCCAGGAATTAGGTACAGAAGAGAATGCTGAGTTGGTAGAAATTTGTTGATAAAGAATGCAAGGGAAGTAGAGTCAAATGATATAGGCATGAAACGAGAAGTTTGTACAAGAGAAGGGAATATTAAGAGATTTAAGATGCTCTTGCCTATAAATGGTTTTCAGTTGAACTGAGGAGGTAGTACATTTATACCGTTAACAATAAATGGTAGTAAATGCTAATTGCCACATAAGAGAGGTAGAGCCTAAGGTCAGAAATTTTGCTCAGAGTTGGCTTGTCAATTGATCTGGAGCAATAAAGTCACCAGATTCCTGGTTGATACCTCTTTGCTACTTCTCAGGGAGAGATAAAGATCTCTAGCCACTGGCTTTTGGGGATTGGGTTATTAGACATGTTTTTGTTTGTTTGTTTTTGTCTGGTTTGGTTTTTGCCAAAGGATTATCAACTGAGCCACTGTCAGCACTTGAGTTTGGTAGGAATGAGGAGAAGAGAAAAATCTGAGATGATTGTTGTGTTTCTGTTAGAGCTGACTTCCCGTTACCCCCCAATTCATGAAAATATGGCAGTATCTGAGATAAGTAATAAGGTATAGCTTCATCAAAAGCACAGCTCTACTAGGTGGTAATGAGTTTTCTTTCTGAGGGGCAAACACACCACAGAAGAAGGCATGTGGATACAAGGTAGCTGGGCTGTCAAGCTTCCTTTGTTCCCCTGCTAACAGAACCTGGGAATCTTTTAGCAAACCACTTGTTTCCACTTTTCAAGATGTGTGGTTATGAGGTAGGGCCCTTCCTAGGCCCCCGGGCTCTGGGACTAGGACAAGAACCCCAGAATTCCTGCCTCGGATT